TGCTTGCTGTGTGTACTTGGACAGGGTCCAACTAGGGAGACCAGTTTCAAATCACTTAGCATTCCACAACTGTCTGTTTAATAATGCTTTCCACTCCCTAACTTTCATGAAAAGTCTGCTCTACTAATGGTTGATATACAATTATATCAGGAGAACAGGCCTCTATCTCACACACACATACATAAAGAAAGAGCTACATGCCCTACATGCACTAGATTTACAGCGTATTGTTTGACGTCCTAATGACAAAAAAATGACAAGGTTAAAAAAGACAAAACTAATGTTTTATTAGTTTTGTCTTTTTTAACCTTGTCATTTTTTCTAGAACTGTATATCGGCAGTGTGGCAAGAGTGGCAGATGGCCGTTGATCAAGTGATGCTTGTTACAGATCCTTTTGAAACAGCTGTTTCTTATCTTTCCCTCAGGTTCCTCTTGTTCCCAGCAGCGTGTTATCTTGCAGAACAGTGTGGCAGCTTTAGTGAATGGGGAAGGGATCTGTGGCTTACTGGTGTGGTTATTTACAGTGGTGCCAAAACTGTGTAGAAAAAAGTCTTTATTCAGACCTTGAATTGGTGTTTGTGATAACATGGGAATCCAGTTTTACAGCTACAGTCCCAACAGTGCATTCTTCCTCCCGACTGACTTCTTGATTTGACTGTGTTAAAGGCTAGGTGAGAAGTTTTTTATGAGTTGTCTTATCTTGTTATATATTCAAGTGTATGTGAATTAAACGATCACCCACAGCCTGTTATGTATTATCTGACTACATGTCATCACCTTAATAATAGTCTTAGAGGAGGCCTACTTCTCTCAGGGTGAAGATAGAGCCAAGGCAAGCCAAGTGAATGGAAACAGATCACACAGACAAAAGAAAACCACTTGTAGAGCAAGTGAGAAAAGACATAATTGTCCCCAACAGCCCCCCCCCCCTCCAGAGCAGCTGGTCACCCAGAAATTGTATTATGCATTTCTCTGAATAGGTAGGGAGCAGAGTGATACAACTAGTAAAGTAAAGTCCTTCCCAAGTTGTTCTCTGCTTGTCAAGCCCACCCCATAAAAACAAACCACAGGCAACCAGTACCACTATGACTCATTTCATTTCTTTTGTGCCATCCTGTGGATATATCATATTATATTTAATTTGCTGAAACCCACTGAATGACCTTGCCTTTTTAAATGAAATACTTTACAGCCACAGTCTGTGTTTTGGATAGCTTTTTCTAATACAGTTCCACTAATTATTATCTAGATTCTGTGTAGTCACTGGGCCCCTGGAAACTGAATTACTGGTTCATGAATAAAACTATTAAATGGCTGGGCAGCTATAGTACAGGTGGTAGAAAGGGTAGTCTGTTAATGTTAAGACTGGTGACTTTACATACACAAAGTATCTTTGAGTAAGACACTGAACCCCAAATCCCTCTTGATGTGTGTATGTCAAGGAAAAATGTCACTTTTGGATAGAAGTGCATGTTATGTAAAAACATGCAAACCACTGCTGGCTAGCTGGAGACACATGGCTCAGACAGCTTTGTGTAATTGAAGGTGTGGGTTGTGGAGAGTTTGGTATTAATGAAACAATGGTTGTCTGTTCCAAAGAGGAGAGTGGGTAGGGCTTGTCAACATGTTTGAAGAGGGAGTAAAATAGATAGAAAAGCTAAGCATGACTGTAAATTGGTTTGGTATGAGTTTACAGAATGATATTGAATTGTTTCATTGTTTGCTTATTGAAAGGGATTTTGTATTATGGCAAGCAATATTTAGTCTGAAGTCTAATGACCACATGCAATAAGTAACACAAAATGTGCTTTTGTACTGCTCAGTGCACCTTAAGGTGATCATCAATACAGTTACAACAAGTCAACCTAGACTGAAACTAGCTTTCAATTATGAACAGATCATGTGCAATGTGTGTGTGTGAGAATATACAAATGTGTAATTGTTTTAGTATTTTACTACTGTTTGTGGATGTGTATTAAAGAGAGAGGGTGTTCACCAACATGTTGGTGTATGTGTTAATGTGCATTTCTGCACCTCTATGTGTTTTTATAAGGCAAGGCCATACAAAGCTATAACCGTCATTGTTCTGTCTATTGACACTGGAGCTGGGGTGTAGGCACAGGATTAGGCAGCTTTCCTCAGGGCAGGGTGTGGTCCAACTTCAACCATATTTCCAAAATACATAAGGGGAAGGGAAATAAAATTTGGTGTTTTGGTGTTGTCTGAAAGGATTTTATCACCACCTAGTGTTCACCATTGGGTCTTACAAGCCAGACCATCTTGCAGAGCAGGGTTGGTAAATGCTTATTTCAGGCAATATAGGATTTGTTTTAAGGGTGAAAGAAGAATTTTGTCTTAAATAATGTGCAAATACATTGTATTAATGGTTATTATTATCTTTTTATACAGGAAAACCCAGATACAGTTTCCATCACACCAGAGGAAATAAATAGAGGAAATCAAAACAAGGTATTTTATAAAGTTTTAAGCTTTCTACATGCGCTTTCTGTACTTTCTACATGCACACTTATACATTAAGTTCTTGCCATCTACATTTTTTGTTTCTCTTGAACCAATTATTTACATGGTTATGCTTACAGATGGCTGAAGAGGAGGAAACCAGGGAGGTGCTCTTTCCAGATTGGGAGGGTCCAGACAAAACTGGATTGACCATTGAACAGACAGGAGGAGAGATCTTTGTGAAGGAGGTGAAAGGAGAGTCACCTGCAGCACGGTCTGGAAAAGTATATCAAGGTAGCAAATTCCTATTTTTTTTTTTTTTTAAATCATCTGGTATGGAGTAAGATTTGTCTCACCTGCATGCTGACTAATTTCTAGTATTCTTAATAGACTTTTTTGCTGCTTACTCTGCTTAATTCATAGGTGACCAGATTGTAGGCGCCACTGTCTACTTTGATAACATGAGCTCAGAAGAAACAGCTGAGCTACTGAAGACATTAAACCGGCACAAGGTTGGACTGAAATTACAAAACAAAGGAGATAAATCCCCTTACTGCTCGCCCTTGAGCACACCATGTCGTTCACCAATGGGAACCCTGACATGGGAAGGGAAGACCCGGTTTGGAGGTTCCAGTCCAGACATCATCCTTGTAAGTTCTTTTTAAAAATTATATGACTCCTGATTTGTTTGTGGGGAAGCAACTGTACAAAATACATGATATAATAACATTTCCATGTTGTATGCCTTCCTGTCTTTTTCTATCAACAGAGTGGGGATGATGATGACTATAAAAGAATATACACAAAAAAGATTAAACCAAGACTGAAGTCTGAAGACCTTGCAGAGGGAGTAGATGTTCGCACGGAGCGGCACAGCAGCACAAGCAGCGATGGCAGCACAATTACTACCATCACCCGCCGCATCACTACCTACACTGTGGATATGCCAGGTGGCATAAGTGAGCAACTTGAACTTTCAAGCCCAGAGTTCAAGGGGCTTAGGCACGAATCTGGAGATGGCTCTCCTCATATCAGAATCTCACATGGCAGCCCTTCAGGTAAAGTGGGAGCAGAAGAGGGAGTTTTTGAGTCAAGCAATGTCTCTTACACTGGGCCCCAAGTTAGTTCCACAGAGACACGCTGGGGCAGTGGGGGAGTTCAGACGACAACAATTATAAGAGAGGGAGAAAGAGAAAGAGTTACAGGTCTCAAATTTAAAGGGCCTAATTTAGGAGTAGCAGGGGGTAAAGGCCAGGGAGGCTTTGAGATCTCAAGAGGGAGTGGAGAGCAGGGAGATGGAAGCATTCAGGTGTCAGAAACAAGCACGACATTAAGAGACAGCACAAACACTGGTAGTAGGCATATTACATTTGGAGGGTTGGGAAATGCAGAGGTAACCTCAACTGATGAGAATGGAGGGTCAGTTAGTCTGTTTTACCAGGAAAAAGCATGCATATTTTGACTTCAACCACAGATAAAACACAGAAGGGAAGTATTGATTTAGGTGAGAGGACAAAGGTGAAAGTATCTGAAACTACCATCGGTCACCCGCAGGCAAAGGGATCAGATAGTATGGTATGTCGAATGTAAGACTTGGTGGAGGTCACATAGGTACTGATACTGAATTGAGAGGTGGCAGGATAGGAGGATCAGCAATAACAGTAGGCAGTGTTACCTCAGGTTATTCCTCAGGGCCAGGCAAGATTTCAGTGGCAGGTGTAGATGTCAATCTTACAGGTTCAAAGTTGAAAGGTGAGGTTGACCTGCCAAGCACAATGGGAGGAATAAAAGCATCTGGTATAGACACTGATGTTCCAGGCTATGAAACTGAGGGAAGTGTGAGTGGCATAAAAACGTCAACCATCAAGATGCCCGTGTTTGGAATGAAAGAAATCAAGAAAGAGGGAACTAGTGTTGAAGTTAAACTAAGTGGTGATGCGGATATGTCAGTACCTGTAACACATGAAGAGGTGCAAAAACCAGAACTAGACATCAAACGGACAGATATACAGATCAAAGGTCCTAGTGCTAACATTGCAGGGTCAGTTGGCAATGTACATGACATTAAAGGTCCCACTATAAATATTGAGGGGAAAGAAGGCGATTTAAAAATGCCTCAGATAAAGACACTATCATTTGGGTCCACAGGACCAAAGGTTGCTGTTAAAGCTCCTGAGGTTGACATTAAAGCACCAAAAGGTGATAGTGGGGGCTCTGATGTAAAAACTGAAAGTCTGAAATTCAAGATGGGTTCCAAAACAGGACCTACAATGCCAGAATGGGATATAAGTCTGAAAGAAACTAAACGGGATGTGGATGTGTCAGTTCCAAAGATTGAGGGAGACACAACAAAACCTGCAGTTGAGATCAAAGGATCAGCAGTTGACATCGAAAAACATAAAGGTGGATTTGAGATGCCTAAACTCAAAATGCCATCATTTGGCTTTACAGGTCCTAAGGCGGAAGCTACAGATGTTGATATAAAAGTTACAAAAGCGGAAATTGATGTCAAGGCACCTGAGGTTCATGTTAAAGCATCCAAAGTTAATGTTGAAAGCCCAGATGTAGACATAGACGCTCCCAAGGTGGACATTGACATTGAGGGACCTGAAGGTGGCTTTAACCAGCCAAAATCTACAATGAAATCCACTGGCCTGAAAGGTCCGAAGCTTGAAGGAGGTGTGACTGTATCTGTACCAAAGATTAAGGGAGACATAAAAGCACCTGGAATTGACATCAAAGGTCCACAAATTGATATTACAGGGACAAATGGTGGTGTTGAAATTCCAAAAATCAAAATTCCTGAAGTGGAGCATGAAGTACCAGATGTTGACATTGAGGGACATAAAAGTGGATTTAAAATACCTAAAGTAAAAATTCCATCATTTGGAATTAAAGGTCCAAAAGTGGAGGGGCCAGAAGTCAACGTTGTTTGTCCAAAAGCTGACATGAATGTGAACGCTCCTGAAGTGGACATTGAGGGCAGTGGTAATATGAAAGGATCAAAATTCAAAGTGCCATCACTTTCAGGACAGAAAATCTCCATGCCAGATGTGGATTTACATGTCAAAGGGCCCAAACTCAAAGGTGATGTGGATGTGTCAGGGCCAAAGATTGAAGGGGACATAAAAACACTTGATGTTGATGTTAAAGTTCCGGAGGTGGATATAGAGGGTCCAAAAGGTGAATTTGAAATGCCGAAAATCAAAATGCCATCATTTGGCTTCAAAGGTCCAAAAGGGGAGGGTCCAGATGTTGATATAAACCTTCCCAAAGGAAACATTGACATGAAAGCCCCTGCTGTTGACATTAAAGGGCCAGAGGTTGACATAGAAGGACCGGATGCAAAACTGAAAGGAACCAAATTCAGCATGCCAACAATTTCAGGACCGAAACTTTCCATGCCAGATGTGGATTTTAATTTGAAAGGTCCAAAACTCAAAGGTAATGTGGATATGTCAGCGCCAAAGATCAAAGGAGACGTTAAAACGCCTGAGTTTGACATCAAAGGTCCACAGGTTGATATTGAAGGTCCAAAAGGTGGATTTGAAATGCCTAAAATCAAAATGCCATCATTTGGCTTTAAAGGTCCAAAAGTGGAGGGTCCAGATGTTGATATAAACCTTCCCAAAGCAAAAATTGACGTGAAAGCACCTGCTGTTGACATTAAAGGGCCAGAGGTGGACATCGAAGGCCCAGATGCAAAGCTCAAAGGAACCAAATTCAGCATGCCAACCATTACAGGACCAAAACCTTCCATGCCAGATGTGGATTTAAAACTGAAAGGTCCCAAACTCAAAGGTGATGTGGATATGTCAGCGCCAAAGATCGAAGGAGACATTAAAACACCTGAGTTTGACATCAAAGGTCCACAGGTTGATATTGAAGGTCCGAAAGGTGGATTTGAAATGCCTAAAATCAAAATGCCATCATTTGGCTTTAAAGGTCCAAAAGTGGAGGGTCCAGATGTTGATATAAACCTTCCCAAAACAAACATTGACGTGAAAGCACCTGCTGTTGACATTAAAGGGCCAGAGGTGGACATCGAAGGCCCAGATGCAAAGCTCAAAGGAACCAAATTCAGCATGCCAACCATTACAGGACCAAAACCTTCTATGCCAGATGTGGATTTAAAACTGAGAGGTCCCAAACTCAAAGGTGATGTGGACATGTCAGCGCCAAAGATCGAAGGAGACATTAAAACACCTGAGTTTGACATCAAAGGTCCACAGGTTGATATTGAAGGTCCGAAAGGTGGATTTGAAATGCCTAAAATCAAAATGCCATCATTTGGCTTTAAAGGTCCAAAAGTGGAGGGTCCAGATGTTGATATAAACCTTCCCAAAACAAACATTGACGTGAAAGCACCTGCTGTTGACATTAAAGGACCAGAGGTGGACATCGACGGGCCGGATGCAAAGCTAAAAGGACCCAAATTCAGCATGCCAACCATTTCAGGACCAAAACTTTCCATGCCTGATGTGGATTTCAAGCTGAAAGGTCCCAAACTCAAAGGTGATGTGGATATGTCAGCGCCAAAGATCGAAGGAGACATTAAAACACCTGAGTTTGACATCAAAGGTCCACAGGTTGATATTGAAGGTCCGAAAGGTGGATTTGAAATGCCTAAAATCAAAATGCCATCATTTGGCTTTAAAGGTCCAAAAGTGGAGGGTCCAGATGTTGATATAAACCTTCCCAAAACAAACATTGACGTGAAAGCACCTGCTGTTGACATTAAAGGACCAGAGGTGGACATCGACGGGCCGGATGCAAAGCTAAAAGGACCCAAATTCAGCATGCCAACCATTTCAGGACCAAAACTTTCCATGCCTGATGTGGATTTCAAGCTGAAAGGTCCCAAACTCAAAGGTGATGTAGATATGTCAGCGCCAAAGATCGAAAGAGACATTAAAACACCTGAGTTTGACATCAAAGGTCCACAGGTTGATATTGAAGGTCCGAAAGGTGGATTTGAAATGCCTAAAATCAAAATGCCATCATTTGGCTTTAAAGGTCCAAAAGTGGAGGGTCCAGATGTTGATATAAACCTTCCCAAAACAAACATTGACGTGAAAGCACCTGCTGTTGACATTAAAGGGCCAGAGGTAGACATTGAAGGCCCAGATGCAAAGCTCAAAGGAACCAAATTCAGCATGCCAACCATTACAGGACCAAAACTTTCCATGCCAGATGTGGATTTAAAACTGAAAGGTCCCAAAATCAAAGGTGATGTGGATATGTCAGCGCCAAAGATCGAAGGAGACATTAAAACACCTGAGTTTGACATCAAAGGTCCACAGGTTGATATTGAAGGTCCGAAAGGTGGATTTGAACTGCCTAAAATCAAAATGCCATCATTTGGCTTTAAAGGTCCAAAAGTGGAGGGTCCAGATGTTGATATAAACCTTCCAAAAGCAAACATTGACGTGAAAGCACCTGCTGTTGACATTAAAGGGCCAGAAGTTGACATAGAAGGACCGGATGCAAAACTAAAAGGACCCAAATTCAGCATGCCAACCATTTCAGGACCAAAACTTTCCATGCCAGATGTGGATTTCAATTTGAAAGGTCCCAAACTCAAAGGTGATGTGGATATGTCAGCGCCAAAGATCGAAGGAGACGTTAAAACACCGAAGGTTGACATGAAAGGTCCAGAGGCTGATATTAAAGGGCCAAAGGGTGGATTTGAAATGCCTAACATCAAAATGCCATCCATTTCAGGACCCAAGATGCCAGATTGGGATATTAATTTGAAAGGACCCAAAATAAAGGGAGATGTCGACTTATCAGCTCAAAAGATTGAGGGTGACATAAAAGCTCCCAAGGTTGACATTGAAGGACCTGATGTTGACATCGAGGGCCACAAAGGAGGATTTAAAATGCCTAAATTTAAAATGCCATCCTTTGGGCTGAAAGGCCCAAACGTTGAAGGGCCAGATGTTGATGTCAGCATGCCGAAAGCTGATATTGATATCAAAGCACCTGATGTTAACATTACAGGACCAGAGGTTGACATAGAAGGACCGGATGCAAAACTGAAAGGACCCAAATTCAGCATGCCAACAATTTCAGGACCAAAACTTTCCATGCCAGATGTGGATTTCAAACTGAAAGGTCCCAAACTCAAAGGTGATGTAGATATGTCAGTGCCAAAGATAGAGGGAGACATTAAAACACCGAAGGTTGACATTAAAGGTCCAGAGGCTGATATTAAAGGGCCAAAGGGTGGATTTGAAATGCCTAATATCAAAATGCCATCAATATCAGGACCCAAGATGCCAGATTGGGATATTAATCTGAAAGGACCCAAAATAAAGGGAGATGTCGACGTGTCGGTTCCAAAGATTGAGGGTGACATAAAAGCTCCCAAGGTTGACATTGAAGGACCTGATGTTGACATCGAGGGCCACAAAGGAGGATTTAAAATGCCTAAATTTAAAATGCCATCCTTCGGGTTGAAAGGTCCAAATCTCGAAGGGCCAGAAGTTGATGTCAGCATGCCGAAAGCTGATATTGATATTAAAGCACCTGATGTTAACATTACAGGACCAGAGGTTGACATAGAAGGACCGGATGCAAAACTGAAAGGACCCAAATTCAGCATGCCAACAATTTCAGGACCAAAACTTTCCATGCCAGATGTGGATTTCAAACTGAAAGGTCCCAAACTCAAAGGTGATGTAGATATGTCAGTGCCAAAGATAGAGGGAGACATTAAAACACCGAAGGTTGACATTAAAGGTCCAGAGGCTGATATTAAAGGGCCAAAGGGTGGATTTGAAATGCCTAACATCAAAATGCCATCAATATCAGGACCCAAGATGCCAGATTGGGATATTAATCTGAAAGGACCCAAAATAAAGGGAGATGTCGACGTGTCGGTTCCAAAGATAGAGGGTGACATAAAAGCTCCCAAGGTCAATATTGAAGGACCAGATGTTGACATTGAGGGCCACAAAGGAGGATTTAAAATGCCTAAATTTAAAATGCCATCCTTCGGGGTGAAAGGTCCAAATCTCGAAGGGCCAGAAGTGGATGTCAGCATGCCGAAAGCTGATATTGATATTAAAGCACCTGATGTTGACATTAAAGGACCAGAGGTTGACATAGAAGGACCAGATGCAAAACTGAAAGGACCCAAATTCAGCATGCCAACAATTTCAGGACCAAAACTTTCCATGCCAGATGTGGATTTCAAACTGAAAGGTCCCAAACTCAAAGGTGATGTGGATATGTCAGCGCCAAAGATCGAAGGAGACATTAAAACACCGAAGGTTGACATTAAAGGTCCAGAGGCTGATATTAAAGGGCCAAAGGGTGGATTTGAAATGCCTAACATCAAAATGCCATCAATATCAGGACCCAAGATGCCAGATTGGGATATTAATCTGAAAGGACCCAAAATAAAGGGAGATGTTGACATGTCAGTTCCAAAGATTGAGGGTGACATAAAAGCTCCCAAGGTCGAAATTGAAGGACCAGATGTTGACATCGAGGGCCACAAAGGAGGATTTAAAATGCCTAAATTTAAAATGCCATCCTTTGGGCTGAAAGGCCCAAACGTTGAAGGGCCAGATGTTGATGTCAGCCTCCCAAAAGCTGATATTGATATTAAAGCCCTGAAATGGAAATCAAAGGACCAGAAATGGACATTGACAGTCCAAGTGGAAAAATCAAAGGACCCAAATTCAGCATGCCAACCATTTCAGGACCAAAACTTTCCATGCCAGATGTGGATTTCAATTTGAAAGGTCCCAAACTCAAAGGTGATGTGGATATGTCAGCGCCAAAGATCAAAGGAGACATTAAAACACCGAAGGTTGACATTAAAGGTCCAGAGGCTGATATTAAAGGGCCAAAGGGTGGATTTGAAATGCCTAATATCAAAATGCCATCAATATCAGGACCCAAGATGCCAGATTGGGATATTAATCTGAAAGGACCCAAAATAAAGGGAGATGTCGACGTGTCAGTTCCAAAGATAGAGGGTGACATAAAAGCTCCCAAGGTCGATATTGAAGGACCAGATGTTGACATCGAGGGCCACAAAGGAGGATTTAAAATGCCTAAATTTAAAATGCCATCCTTTGGGCTGAAAGGCCCAAACGTTGAAGGGCCAGATGTTGATGTCAGCCTCCCAAAAGCTGATATTGATATTAAAGCCCCTGAAATGGAAATCAAAGGACCAGAAATTGACATTGACAGTCCAAGTGGAAAAATCAAAGGACCCAAATTCAGCATGCCAACGATTTCAGGACCAAAACTTTCCATGCCAGATGTGGATTTCAATTTGAAAGGTCCCAAACTCAAAGGTGATGTAGATATGTCAGCGCCAAAGATCAAAGGAGACATTAAAACACCGAAGGTTGACATTAAAGGTCCAGAGGCTGATATTAAAGGGCCAAAGGGTGGATTTGACATGCCTAATATCAAAATGCCATCAATATCAGGACCCAAGATGCCAGATTGGGATATTAATCTGAAAGGACCCAAAATAAAGGGAGATGTCGACGTGTCAGTTCCAAAGATAGAGGGTGACATAAAAGCTCCCAAGGTTGATATTGAAGGACCAGATGTTGACATTGAGGGCCACAAAGGAGGATTTAAAATGCCTAAATTTAAAATGCCATCCTTTGGGATGAAAGGTCCACATCTCGAAGGGCCAGAAGTTGATGTCAGCCTCCCAAAAGCTGATATTGATATTAAAGCCCCTGAAATGGAAATCAAAGGACCAGATATTGACATTGACAGTCCAAGTGGAAAAATCAAAGGACCCAAATTCAGCATGCCAACAATTTCAGGACCGAAACTTTCCATGCCAGATGTGGATTTCAAGCTGAAAGGTCCCAAACTCAAAGGTGATGTGGATATGTCAGCGCCAAAGATCGAAGGAGACGTTAAAACACCGAAGGTTGACATTAAAGGTCCAGAGGCCGATATTAAAGGGCCAAAGGGTGGATTTGAAATGCCTAACATCAAAATGCCATCAATATCAGGACCCAAGATGCCAGACTGGGATATTAATCTGAAAGGACCCAAAATAAAGGGAGATGTCGACGTGTCAGTTCCAAAGATAGAGGGTGACATAAAAGCTCCCAAGGTCGATATTGAAGGACCAGATGTTGACATCGAGGGCCACAAAGGAGGATTTAAAATGCCTAAATTTAAAATGCCATCCTTTGGGCTGAAAGGCCCAAACGTTGAAGGGCCAGAAGTTGATGTCAGCATGCCGAAAGCTGATATTGATATCAAAGCACCTGATGTTGACATTAAAGGACCAGAGGTTGACATAGAAGGACCGGACGCAAAACTGAAAGGACCCAAATTCAGCATGCCAACCATTTCAGGACCAAAACTTTCCATGCCAGATGTGGATTTCAAACTGAAAGGTCCCAAACTCAAAGGTGATGTGGATATGTCAGTACCAAAGATCGAAGGAGACGTTAAAACACCGAAGGTTGACGTTAAAGGTCCAGAGGCTGATATTAAAGGGCCAAAGGGTGGATTTGAAATGCCTAACATCAAAATGCCATCAATATCAGGACCCAAGATGCCAGATTGGGATATTAATCTGAAAGGACCCAAAATAAAGGGAGATGTCGACGTGTCAGTTCCAGAGATTGAGGGTGACATAAAAGCTCCCAAGGTCGATATTGAAGGACCAGATGTTAACATCGAGGGCCACAAAGGAGGATTTAAAATGCCTAAATTTAAAATGCCATCCTTTGGGCTGAAAGGCCCAAACGTTGAAGGGCCAGATGTTGATGTCAGCCTCCCAAAAGCTGATATTGATATTAAAGCCCCTGAAATGGAAATCAAAGGACCAGATATTGACATTGACAGTCCAAGTGGAAAAATCAAAGGACCCAAATTCAGCATGCCAACCATTTCAGGACCGAAACTTTCCATGCCAGATGTGGATTTCAAGCTGAAAGGTCCCAAACTCAAAGGTGATGTGGATATGTCAGTGCCAAAGATCGAAGGAGACATTAAAACACCGAAGGTTGACATTAAAGGTCCAGAGGCTGATATTAAAGGGCCAAAGGGTGGATTTGAAATGCCTAACATCAAAATGCCATCAATTTCAGGACCCAAGATGCCAGATTGGGATATTAATCTGAAAGGACCCAAAATAAAGGGAGATGTCGACGTGTCAGTTCCAAAGATAGAGGGTGACATAAAAGCTCCCAAGGTCGATATTGAAGGACCAGATGTTGACATCGAGGGCCACAAAGGAGGATTTAAAATGCCTAAATTTAAAATGCCATCCTTCGGAGTGAAAGGTCCAAATATTGAAGGGCCAGAAGTTGACGTCAGCATGCCGAAAGCTGATATTGATATTAAAGCACCTGATGTTGACATTAAAGGACCAGAGGTTGACATAGAAGGACCGGATGCAAAACTAAAAGGACCCAAATTCAGCATGCCAACAATTTCAGGACCAAAACTTTCCATGCCTGATGTGGATTTCAAGCTGAAAGGTCCCAAACTCAAAGGTGATGTGGATATGTCAGCGCCAAAGATCGAAGGAGACATTAAAGGTCCAGAGGCTGATATTAAAGGGCCAAAGGGTGGATTTGAAATGCCTAACATCAAAATGCCATCAATTTCAGGACCCAAGATGCCAGATTGGGATATTAATCTGAAAGGACCCAAAATAAAGGGAGATGTCGACGTGTCAGTTCCAAAGATTGAGGGTGACATAAAAGCTCCCAAGGTCGATATTGAAGGACCAGATGTTGACATCGAGGGCCACAAAGGAGGATTTAAAATGCCTAAATTTAAAATGCCATCCTTTGGGATGAAAGGTCCAAATCTCGAAGGGCCAGATGTTGATGTCAGCCTCCCAAAAGCTGATATTGATATTAAAGTCCCTGACATGGAAATCAAAGGACCAGAAATTGACATTGACAGTCCAAGTGGAAAAATCAAAGGACCCAAATTCAACATGCCAACTATTTCAGGACCAAAACTTTCCATGCCAGATGTGGATTTCAATTTGAAAGGTCCCAAACTCAAAGGTGATGTGGATATGTCAGCGCCAAAGATCGAAGGAGACATTAAAACACCAAAGGTTGACATTAAAGGTCCAGAGGCTGATATTAAAGGGCCAAAGGGTGGATTTGAAATGCCTAACATCAAAATGCCATCAATATCAGGACCCAAGATGCCAGATTGGGATATTAATCTGAAAGGACCCAAAATAAAGGGAGATGTCGACGTGTCAGTTCCAAAGATAGAGGGTGACATAAAAGCTCCCAAGGTCGATATTGAAGGACCAGATGTTGACGTCGAGGGCCACAAAGGAGGATTTAAAATGCCTAAATTTAAAATGCCATCCTTTGGGCTGAAAGGCTCAAATGTTGAAGGGCCAGATGTTGATGTCAGCCTCCCAAAGGCTGATATTGATATTAAAGCCCCTGAAATGGAAATCAAAGGACCAGATATTGACATTGACAGTCCAAGTGGAAAACTGAAAGGACCCAAATTCAGCATGCCAACAATTTCAGGACCGAAACTTTCCATGCCAGATGTGGATTTCAATTTGAAAGGTCCCAAACTCAAAGGTGATGTGGATATGTCAGCGCCAAAGATCGAAGGAGACATTAAAACACCGAAGGTTGACATTAAAGGTCCAGAGGCTGATATTAAAGGGCCAAAGGGTGGATTTGAAATGCCTAACATCAAAATGCCATCGATTTCAGGACCCAAGATGCCAGATTGGGATATTAATCTGAAAGGACCCAAAATAAAGGGAGATGTCGACGTGTCAGTTCCAAAGATAGAGGGTGACATAAAAGCTCCCAAGGTCGATATTGAAGGACCAGATGTTGACATCGAGGGCCACAAAGGAGGATTTAAAATGCCTAAATTTAAAATGCCATCCTTCGGAGTCAAAGGTCCAAATATTGAAGGGCCAGATGTTGATGTCAGCATGCCGAAAGCTGATATTGATATCAAAGCACCTGATGTTGACATTAAAGGACCAGAGGTTGACATAGAAGGACCGGACGCAAAACTGAAAGGACCCAAATTCAGCATGCCAACAATTTCAGGACCAAAACTTTCCATGCCAGATGTGGATTTCAAACTGAAAGGTCCCAAACTCAAAGGTGATGTGGATATGTCAGTGCCAAAGATCGAAGGAGACATTAAAACACCGAAGGTTGACATTAAAGGTCCAGAGGCTGATATTAAAGGGCCAAAGGGTGGATTTGAAATGCCTAACATCAAAATGCCATCAATATCAGGACCCAAGATGCCAGATTGGGATATTAATCTGAAAGGACCCAAAATAAAGGGAGATGTCGACGTGTCAGTTCCAAAGATTGAGGGTGACATAAAAGCTCCCAAGGTCGATATTGAAGGACCAGATGTTGACATCGAGGGCCACAAAGGAGGATTTAAAATGCCTAAATTTAAAATGCCATCCTTTGGGCTGAAAGGCCCAAACGTTGAAGGGCCAGATGTTGATGTCAGCCTCCCAAAAGCTGATATTGATATTAAAGCCCCTGAAATGGAAATCAAAGGACCAGAAATTGACATTGACAGTCCAAGTGGAAAAATCAAAGGACCCAAATTCAGCATGCCAACAATTTCAGGACCAAAACTTTCCATGCCAGATGTGGATTTCAATTTGAAAGGTCCCAAACTCAAAGGTGATGTGGATATGTCAGCGCCAAAGATCGAAGGAGACATTAAAACACCGAAGGTTAACATTAAAGGTCCAGAGGCCGATATTAAAGGGCCAAAGGGTGGATTTGATATGCCTAACATCAAAATGCCATCAATTTCAGGACCCAAGATGCCAGATTGGGATATTAATCTGAAAGGACCCAAAATAAAGGGAGATGTCGACGTGTCAGTTCCAAAGATTGAGGGTGACATAAAAGCTCCCAAGGTCGATATTGAAGGACCAGATGTTAACATCGAGGGCCACAAAGGAGGATTTAAAATGCCTAAATTTAAAATGCCATCCTTCGGGGTGAAAGGTCCAAATCTCGAAGGGCCAGAAGTTGATGTCAGCATGCCGAAAGCTGAAATTGATATCAAAGCACCTGATGTTGACATTAAAGGACCAGAGGTTGACATAGAAGGACCAGATGCAAAACTGAAAGGACCCAAATTCAGCATGCCAACAATTTCAGGACCGAAACTTTCCATGCCAGATGTGGATTTCAAACTGAAAGGTCCCAAAATCAAAGGTGATGTGGATATGTCAGCGCCAAAGATCGAAGGAGACGTTAAAACACCTGACTTTGACATCAAAGGTCCACAGGTTGATATTGAAGGTCCGAAAGGTGGATTTGAAATGCCCAAAATCAAAATGCCATCATTTGGCTTCAAAGGTCCGAAAGTGGAGGGTCCAGATGTTGATATAAACCTTCCCAAAGGAAACATTGACATGAAATCACCTGCTGTTGACATTAAAGGGCCAGAGATTGACATTGAACGACCTGATGCAAAGCTCAAAGGACCGAAATTCAGCATGCCAACCATTTCAGGACCGAAACTTTCCATGCCAGATGTGGATTTCAATCTGAGTGGACCCAAACTCAAAGGTGATGTAGATCTGTCATCTCCAAAGATAGAGGGAGACATTAAAACACCTACGGTTGACATTAAAGTTCCAGAGGCTGATATTAAAGGGCCAAAGGGTGGATTTGAAATGCCTAACATCAAAATGCCATCAATATCAGGACCCAAGATGCCAGATTGGGATATTAATCTGAAAGGACCCAAAATAAAGGGCGATGTCGATGTTTCAGTTCCAAAGATTGAGGGTGACATAAAAGCTCCCAAGGTTGATATTGAAGGACCAGATGTTGACATTGAGGGCCACAAAGGAGGATTTAAAATGCCTAAATTTAAAATGCCATCCTTTGGGATGAAAGGCCCAAACGTTGAAGGGCCAGATGTTGATGTCAGCCTCCCAAAAGCTGATATTGATATTAAAGCCCCTGAAATGGAAATCAAAGGACCAGATATTGACATTGACAGTCCAAGTGGAAAAATCAAAGGACCCAAATTCAGCATGCCAACCATTTCAGGACCAAAACTTTCCATGCCAGATGTGGATTTCAATCTGAGAGGACCGAAACTCAAAGGTGATGTTGATGTGGTAACTCCAAAGATCGAAGGAGACATTAAAACACCTGAAGTTAAGATCAAGGGTCCTACCGTTGACTTAGAATCTCCAGAAGGACAACTTAGTGGGCCAAAGGTGAAGTTACCAAAAATGTCTGGACCGAAAATATCATTGCCAGATGTTGACATCAATGTGAAGGGGCCAAAGGTCAAGGGTGATTTCAAAGGGGATGTTCAGTTGCCAAAAGCTGAACTTGAGGGACCAGATGTCACCATTGATGTTCCAGAAATTGGTGCAAAGAAAGCTAAATTCAAAATGCCAAAATTTGGATTTAAGGGTTCAAAGATAAAGGCCCCAGACACAGACGTGAAAATGGCAAAAGGTGATATAAGTATCAAAGGGATGACTGGTAGCTCTGAAGGTCTTGATCTTGACCTGGGATTGACTGGTTCAAAAACTAAAGGATCCAAATTCAAGATGCCAAAATTTGGTTTCAAAGGCCCAAAAGTTGAAATGCCAGAAGTTGATGTTAATCCGAACATTTCCATGCCAGATGTGGATTTTAATGTGAAAGGTCCCAAACTCAAAGGGGATTTGGATGTGTCAGTTCCAAAGATTAAGGGAGACATAACAGGGCCTGAAGTTGACATCAAAGGTCCAGATATGGAATGTTCAAAGGGGGGATTTGAAATGCCTAAAATTAAAATGCCATCTTTCAGCATTAAGAGTCCCAAAGTAGAGGGCCCTGATGTTGACATTGATCTTCCAAAAGCTGATATGGAGATCAAAGCACCTGGAATTGACATGAAGGGGCAAGACATTGATGTTGAAGGCCCTGATGCAAAATTGAAAGGACCCAAATTAAAGTTGCCATCCGTACAAGCACCAAAGATGCCAGACTGGGATATCAATCTGAAAGGTCCAAAACTGAAAGGAGATGTGAATATGAAAGGTCCTAAGATTGAGGGAGATATTGAAACTCCTAAAATAGACGTTGAAGTACCAGACATTGACATTGACAGTCCAAGTGCAAAAATAAAGGGGCCAAAATTCAAGATGCCAACTATCTCAGGACCGAAGATTTCCATGCCAGATATGGATTTCAATTTGAAAGGTCCCAAACTCAAAGGTGATGTGGATTTGTCAGTGCCAAAGATTAAAGGAGACATAAAAACACCTGATTTTGACATCAAAGGTCCACAGGTTGATGTTGAAGGTTCAAAAGGTGGATTTGAAATGCCTAAAATCAAAATGCCATCATTTGGTTTCCAAGGTCCAAAAGTGGAGGGTCACGATGTTGATATTAACCTTCCCAAGGCTAAAATTGATGTTAAAGCACCTGACGTTGACATTAAAGGACCAGAGATTGACATTGAAGGACCTGATGCAAAACTCAAAGGACCCAAAATCAAAATGCCATCAGTATCGGGACCCAAGATGCCAGATTGGGATATTAATCTGAAAGGGCCAAAAATAAAGGGAGATGTTGACGTGTCAGTTCCAAAGATCGAGGGTGACATTAAAGGTCCCAAGGTCGATATTGAAGGACCAGATGTTGACATCGAGGGCCACAAAGGAGGATTTAAAATGCCTAAATTTAAAATGCCATCCTTCGGAGTGAAAGGTCCAAATATTGAAGGGCCAGAAGTTGATGTCAGCATGCCGAAAGCTGATATTGATATCAAAGCACCTGATGTTGACATTAAAGGACCAGAGGTTGACATAGAAGGACCGGACGCAAAACTGAAAGGACCCAAATTCAGCATGCCAACAATTTCAGGACCAAAACTTTCCATGCCTGATGTGGATTTCAAGCTGAAAGGTCCCAAACTCAAAGGTGATGTGGATTTGTCAGCACCAAAGATGGAGGGAGACATTGAAACACCTGAGTTTGATATCAAAGGTCCACAGGCTGATATTGAAGGTCTGAAAGGTGGATTTGAAATGCCTAAAATCAAAATGCCATCATTTGGCATTAAAGGTCCAAAAGTAGAGGGTCCAGATGTTGATATAAATCTTCCCAAAGCAAACATTGACGTGAAAGCACCTGACGTTGACATCAAAGGACCAGATTTTGACATTGAGTGCCCAAGTGGTAAAATCAAAGGACCCAAATTCAACATGCCAAACATTTCAGGACCAAAACTTTCCATGCCAGATGTGGATTTCAAGCTGAAAGGTCCCAAACTTAAAGGTGATGTGGATATGTCAGCGCCAAAGATCGAAGGAGACATTGAAACACCTGACATTGACATCAAAGGTCCACAGGTTGATATCAAAGGACCTAAGGGAGGATTTGACATGCCTAAAATCAAAATGCCATCATTTGGATTCAAAGGTCCAAAAGTAGAGGGTCCAGATGTTGATATAAACCTTCCCAAGGCAAACATTGACATGAAAGCACCTGATGTTGACATTAAAGGGCCAGAGATAGATGTTGCAGGCCCTGATGCAAAACTCAAAGGACCCAAAATCAAAATGCCATCAATGTCAGGACCTACAATGCCAGATTGGGATATTAGTCTGAAAGGGTCCAAAATAAAGGGAGATGTCGACGTGTCAGTTCCAAAGATTGAGGGTGATATAAAAGCTCCCAAGGTCCATATTGAAGGACCAGATGTTGACATTGATGGCCACAAAGGAGGATTTAAAATGCCTAAATTTAAAATGCCATCCTTTGGGCTGAAAGGTCCAAATGTTGAAGGGCCAGATGTTGATGTCAGCCTCCCGAAAGCTGATATTGATATTAAAGCCCCTGAATTGGATATCAAAGGACCAGATTTTAACATTGACAGTCCAAGTGGAAAAATCAAAGGACCCAAATTCAGCATGCCAACAATTTCAGGACCGAAACTTTCCATGCCAGATGTGGATTTCAAACTGAAAGGTCCCAAACTCAAAGGTGATGTGGATATGTCAGTGCCAAAGATCGAAGGAGACGTTGAAACACCTGACCTTGACATCAAAGGTCCACAGGTTGATATCAAAGGGCATACGGGTGGATTTGACATGCCTAAAATCAAAATGCCATCATTTGGATTCAAAGGTCCAAAAGTAGAGGGTCCAGATGTTGATATAAACCTTCCCAAGGCAAACATTGACGTGAAAGCACCTGATGTTGACATTAAAGGGCCAGAGATAGATGTTGCAGGCCCTGATGCAAAACTCAAAGGACCCAAAATCAAACTGCCATCAATGTCAGGACCCACAATGCCAGATTGGGATATTAGTGTGAAAGGACCCAAGGTGAAGGGAGATGTTGACGTGTCAATTCCAAAGATTGAGGGTGATATAAAAGCTCCTAAGGTCGATATTGAAGGACCAGATGTTGACATTGAGGGCCACAAAGGAGGATTTAAAATGCCTAAATTTAAAATGCCATCTTTTGGGCTGAAAGGTCCAAATGTTGAAGGGCCAGATGTTGATGTCAGCCTCCCGAAAGCTGAAATTGATATTAAAGCCCCTGAATTGGATATCAAAGGACCAGATTTTAACATTGACAGTCCAAGTGGAAAAATCAAAGGACCCAAATTCAACATGCCAAACATTTCAGGACCAAAACTTTCCATGCCAGATGTGGATTTCAAACTGAAAGGTCCCAAACTCAAAGGTGATGTGGATATGTCAGTGCCAAAGATCGAAGGAGACGTTGAAACACCTGACCTTGACATCAAAGGTCCACAGGTTGATATCAAAGGGCCTACGGGTGGATTTGACATGCCTAAAATCAAAATGCCATCATTTGGATTCAAAGGTCCAAAAGTAGAGGGTCCAGATGTTGATATAAACCTTCCCAAGGCAAACATTGACGTGAAAGCACCTGATGTTGACATTAAAGGGCCAGAGATAGACGTTGCAGGCCCTGATGCAAAACTCAAAGGACCAAAAATCAAACTGCCATCAATGTCAGGACCCACAATGCCAGATTGGGATATTAATCTGAAAGGGCCCAAGGTGAAGGGAGATGTTGACGTGTCAGTTCCAAAGATTGAGGGTGATATAAAAGCTCCTAAGGTCGATATTGAAGGACCAGATGTTGACATTGAGGGTCACAAAGGAGGATTTAAAATGCCTAAATTTAAAATGCCATCTTTTGGGATGAAAGGTCCAAATGTTGAAGGTCCAGATGTTGATGTCAGCCTCCCAAAGGCTGATATTGATATTAAAGCCCCTGAATTGGACATAAAAGGACCAGATATTGACATTGACAGTCCAAGTGGAAAAATCAAAGGACCCAAATTCAACATGCCAACCATTTCAGGACCAAAACTTTCCATGCCAGATGTGGATTTCAAGCTAAAAGGTCCCAAACTCAAAGGTGATGTGGACATGTCAGTGCCAAAGATCGAGGGAGACATTGAAACGCCTGACTTTGACATCAAAGGTCCACAGGTTGATATCAAAGGGCCTAAGGGTGGATTTGACATGCCTAAAATCAAAATGCCATCATTTGGATTCAAAGGTCCAAAAGTAGAGGGTCCAGATGTTGATATTAACCTTCCCAAGGCTAACATTGATTTGAAAGCACCTGCCCTTGATATTAAAGGGCCAGAGATTGACATTGCAGGTCCTGATGCAAATCTTAAAGGACCAAAAATCAAACTGCCATCAATGTCAGGACCCGCAATGCCAGATTGGGATATTAGTGTGAAAGGACCCAAGGTGAAGGGAGATGTCGACGTGTCAGTTCCAAAGATTGAGGGTGACATAAAAGCTCCCAAGGTCGATATTGAAGGACCAGATGTTGACATTGATGGTCACAAAGGAGGATTTAAAATGCCTAAATTTAAAATGCCATCCTTTGGGCTGAAAGGTCCAAATGTTGAAGGGCCAGATGTTGATGTCAGCCTCCCGAAAGCTGATATTGATATTAAAGCCCCTGAATTGGACATCAAAGGACCAGATTTTGACATTGACAGTCCAAGTGGAAAAATCAAAGGACCCAAATTCAACATGCCAACCATTTCAGGACCAAAACTTTCCATGCCAGATGTGGATTTCAAGCTAAAAGGTCCCAAACTCAAAGGTGATGTGGACATGTCAGTGCCAAAGATCGAAGGAGACATTGAAACGCCTGACTTTGACATTAAAGGTCCACAGGTTGATATCAAAGGGCCTAAGGGTGGATTTGACATGCCTAAAATGAAAATGCCATCATTTGGATTCAAAGGTCCAAAAGTAGAGGGTCCAGATGTTGATATAAACCTTCCCAAGGCAAACATTGATGTGAAAGCACCTGGCCTTGACATTAAAGGGCCAGAGATTGACATTGACAGTCCAAGTGGAAAAATCAAAGGACCCAAATTCAACATGCCAACCATTTCATCCCCGAAAATATCTATGCCAAATATGGATCTCAATCTGAAAGGTCCCAAACTCAAAGGTGATGTGGATTTGTCAGCTCCAAAGATTGAAGGAGACGTTAAAACACCTCATGTTGATATCAAAGGTCCAGAAGTCAACATTGAAGGGCCTAAGGGTGGATTTGAAATACCTAAAATCACAATGCCATCATTTAACATGAAAGGTCCAAAAGTGGAGGGCCCAGATGTTGATATTAACCTTCCCAAAGCTAACATTGATGTGAAAGCACCTGGGGTTCATATTAAATCCCCAGAGATTGACATTGAAGGCCCTGATGCAAAAATCAAAGGACCAAAATTCAACATGCCATCCGTTTCAGGTCCTAAAATATCCATGCCAAATGTGGATTTCAATCTGAAAAGTCCCAAACATAAAGGTGATGTGGATGTCTCAGCTCCAAAGATAGAGGGAGGCATTAAAACCCCTGGCATTGACATTAAAGGTCCAGAGGTTGATATTGAAGGGCCAAAGGGTGGATTTGAAATGCCTAAAATCAAAACGCCTTCATTTGGCTTTAAAGGTCCACAGTTGGAAGGCCCAGGCATTGATGTCAGCCTTCCCAAATCTAATATTGATGTTAAAGCACCTGAGCTTGACATCAACCTAAAAGGGTCCAAAGTCAAAGGAAAGATGGATGCAACAGTGCCCAAAGTGGAAGGAGATATCAAAGGTCCAAATGCTAACATTGCAGTACCCACCATCACTATGGAAGGTGTGTCTATTGAGCCTGTAAATACAGGTGTTACATTTCCCAAGTTCAAAGGTCCTAAGTTTGGAATGAAATCCACAGACGTGGAGGGGCCTGAATCCATTGTGAAGACACCCACGTTTAGTGTGGGAGCAAAAGATTCCAAAAAAGAAGTTAGTCTCCCAGATACTGAAGCAAGTCTTGATGTCCCTGATGTTGACATCAATGTAAAGGGGAAAAAGGGAAAATTTAAACTTCCTAAAGTCAAAGGAAAGGCAAAGAAACCTGATGTTGACATAGAAACACCAGCTGTAAACCTGGATGTAGACACCCCTAATATTCATGTCAAAGGCAAAAAGGTAAAGAAGCCCCTTTTTGGTAAGCTTAATTTTCCTGATGTGGAATTAGATATCAAATCACCAAAAACGAAAGGCGATGGATCGTTATCAGAAGGAATGAAATCATCTGACGTAGATTTGCGATCTGCTAGCTTGAACACGGCCATTGAAGGTTCTGGGACTGGCAGTCCAAATGTTCATTTGCAAGGGCCAGATGTGAAATTGAAGACTCCTAATATTAAAATGTCAAATGTAAACATATCTACCCCTGATATTGATGCAAATCTAAACAGACAAGGAGAGGCAGGTATTTCTGCAGGTTTCAAAGGCAAAAATATAAATGTGAAAGGTGGTGCAGAGATTGATGCAAGTGTTTCAGGGGATAATGCCACTGGTGACCTTCATTACCCAGAGGGTACTGTAACATTTCCCAAAATGAAGGTACCAAAATTTGGTATTGCTCTGCCTCAGTTGGAAGGACAGCATGGTGGAGGAAATGTTGAATCAGAACTTGCTGCTAGTGGAGACATCAACATTCAGTCTCCATCTGTTAGCTGCCAAGTCAGTTCACAAAATATTGAGGTTCCCAGTCCAGAAATAAGGCACAGTGAGGGCAAAGTAAAAGTAAAGATGCCAAAATTTTTTGGCAAATCAAAGGCAAAGGGCAGTAGTGTAGGTGACCTTCGGGGACCAGAGGTAGAACTGAGCACTAGTGGAAAAGGCGGTAAGGTCTCTAAAGATGTAAGTGTACATACTGGTGAACTGATGGGTGGAAAATTTGAGGGTGACCCTGGACTCAGTGTGTCAACTAAAGGCAAGTCCGCCTCACTGGATCTATTTAAGAAATCAAGGCATCGGTCTTCTTCTCTCAGTGATGAAGGGGGGCTTGCAGTTAGTTCTCCTTCCGGTCACTTAGAAGCTGAGGGTGGTGACATTTCATTAGACCTTGGAGAAAGCAAGGTCAAAGGAAAGAAAGGAAAGTTGAAGTTTGGTACCTTTGGAGGTTTTGGTTCAAAGTCAAAGGGCTCATACGAAGTGACGCTTGGTGAGGAGAGTGAAGCAGGAGTGGAGGGCAGTGCAGGTGTTTCTCTAGCCTCTAAAAAATCGAGATTGTCTTCGTCTTCCAGCAATGACAGTGGTTCAAAAGGAGGTTTCAGGTTCCCAAGACTTGAACTATCTGTTTCACCAAAAAAAGATTAATTATGAGGCAAATTAAACTCTCTCATGTACATGCAAATGCACTCTCCTAAAATGGCAAATTCATCAAATTGTTTAAAACCTGAGAGGACAAACACAGTCATCTCAGTTTTAATGACTTTTTAATGACTAACTATTATTTTCAGTAATTAGACAGGAGTGCATGAGATTGTTTAAATTCCCTTCAAACTGTAAATAAGATTAATTTGTATTGTAATAATAAATATTTCTTTTTGTACATAGACAAGATTTATTGAACATATGCCATTTCACCAAATTTTCAACAATAGTTTATAACAGGGTTTGTCATTTATTTCATTTTATTAAATGAATGTTGTTAATGAACGGGTGTGGTATATTTGTATCCAGGGACAGAAGAGATAGTTACAGTAGTTATTTTGAAGGAAAATGTTGTTTATACAAAAATATTAAACAGTTCCAATTTTTCTTTATGTAAGAAATGATTTAATTTTCAAGCTTTGATATTATATAATCAGTGCAGAAGCAGAATTTACTCATCATAGAGCTGGTCCTTCATAACACATTCTAAAGAGTGGTGGTGTTGTATATACCATAATTACAAAAACAATCACTGTCAACTCTGTCAATAGTTGTCAGTACTTTTATTCACCCTTAAATTCTGTGCCATTTACCATAAATATGCATTTGTTTCATTTGTTTTAAACATGTTTTGTTTCTTTATCCTGTCATTTTAATTTTCATTTCATATTTTATGATCCTCTATATTTTATTTTCTGTCAATCTGTCTTTGTACACACACCTTATGATTAAGTAAAAAATAAACAGTCACTTTTTGATCTAATTTGTTTGCAAAAAAATCTGTGTTGATAAGAGAGTTGATGGAGATAAAGCATGATTCTTTGGGTCTATTATTTTGTGTGCATTCTGCCAATCAAACTCAATAAAAAGATTTATAAAATGTATAACATTTCTTAAATCGATATTTGTCAGTGATTTAATCGCATGATATGATGTGATATGAGCAATACTTGATTGGGTTTGTGAATGTTTTGTTCCACATACACATACGCGCAGTCATTTTATCCAATTTTCAATATCCTTCATGTTGCTTAACTAAGGTTCTCATATGTCTAAGGCCATTATACACTTTAAATTATTATTAAGTGGTGAACAGGCATATGAATTAATACTTATTTTTGATTACAATGTACTCATTAGGAATCATCTACCAATTAATCCTACTTGAATTATCATTTGTAGTTTTTGATCATATACCTCTGATGCGGAGACTGCTAACACTAAACACAGCCATATATACAGATAAATTAAGTCAACCGTTCATTAAACACACAACACGCAGTGGCCTTTTCACTCACACATAAAAACATATATTTTAACAATGCACATTATACGGTACATTCATAGGCCATGGCATACATATAGTAGGTTGATTGGCCAATATCCTAAAGCAAGTTGATTGTGCTGCTGAGTGGTACAGACAGACTAAGCGTAGGAGTTGCCAGGCTGAGAATGGTTCGGCTGCGGACAGTAGCTCAGGGGGCGTGGCATGAGCGAGGGGCGTTGCTTGAGAGGTGCTACAGTCCGCGCTGGACATTATTGAGGCTGTAGGCAAATTACCATATATGAAAACAGCTCTGTATGACTCATTAAGAGCCAAGAGTAGAGCTTTGGCCACGTTTAACATGAATATCTGACATCGTAACATATAGATAACACATAAAATATAAGAAGCCTAATAAGCTCTTTGCTTGTGCAAACCAACCAAAACCACATTTTATGATAGCAGAGATGTGATCGAGCATTATTTCCAAAGCTAAACCACTAATAATCCATCTACTGACCTCGAAATGTGTTCAGCGATCTTAATTGATCGTATAAGCCATGTATAGGCTATGCTTACTTGTCAGGGCAGGTATTTTCATTCAGCGCAGGTACTACTTCATTTCAGTTCATTAAGTCCGTAAAACTTGTGACAGCAATACCACAGTATAATATAGGCTAATAAGCCACAAATTATTCCTGTATACAGATCAGAAGCATTAAAGTGCTGCATAAACTTCTGTTAGTCACCGGTGTTGATTTCCCCACTTGGGTCCTGATGATGCAGGCTGACAATCGCCAAAGCTGTCCAATCAACAAGTTACCTGTAAGTCTGTGTAACGTCATGGTTACTTCTTGGTTGGTTTGTAAAATTGCAGTGTGAACATGAACGGGACCAGAACTAAAATGCAACAGTGTATTATTTTTTTCACTTGGTCCGGACCAAATGAACCGAACTACAGGTGTGAAAGTGCCCTTAACTTCAGTCCACCAATCAGAACAGAGGACCCAGTCCTTTGATCTTTCATCAGCTGATTTACGTCACCAAAGTAACCAGCTCTACAATAGAGACAGATAGGAAAATCCCTCTGAAACTTTCTGTCAAACAAACCTCCATAGAGACTAAACTATAGGTCGTATTGGCAAAATGAACTGACCAGCAGCGGAAGAAGGCATTTTTGGGACGATGTGAATATGTTTGTTGGTGGATAAAGTAAAAAAAAGTGAGCCCTTCAGCGAGTTAAAAAACTGGTATGTTCTGCTCTGGTCCAGAAATTTTGACACAAACTTATAATGGCTGCCAATGGAGGAGCTGGCTGTCACTCTTGTCCTTTGGAAGGGACGCCAAATCTATAAGTCTGAGGGATTTAAAAAGCCCATGTGAGGACCACAACAAAATTTACACGTTTCTGCTGTAAATAACATTCCATCCCATCCGCTCCCATTATAAACTCAGAAAGAGCTCAAAAAAACAACACTTCGACAGTGACCGTGAACAAACCATAAAATACATCAAAACGCTGAATACATCATTAATAGATTAACTTCTTGTGACCAATTACAGTTTAAATCAAGTCTGTAGCTGAAGTATGCTGAACTGGTGACCTTCAAAGTGGAGTAGGTATCATATCTCCTCCACACCGGGCTATCTGCATATCTACTACATGGTAGGAAAGGTTAAAAAAACTAAACAAAATGAATGAATAAAATGGAAGAAGAAAGAAAATCAGAATGATGATATCATGGACATGGCAAAATGGTTATGCTGTTGCCAAGGTAGCAAAGAAAAATATGTATTGACACAATGTTTCGGTACTAGACCTTCATCAGGCAAATAGTGTTACATAGTGAGAAGCCATCTTTTGTAGGAGGTGACTTATTTGTCTACACCAATCACCTACTTCCACATAAAATAAGGCAGCCACTA